AAATCTCAAAACCAAGAAATATTACAGGTGACCAAGACTTTTCTTTTCAAAATCCTGCTTGAGGTAGTTCTGTAGATCAGATATACCAGACTAATCATTCCCAGTGAGGATCATACCTTCAACATAAAGAAGTAAAATTATTTCAAGCCAAACTGCAGAAGAGTTGTACTAAACTTGGAAAACCAACCATGTAGAGCCTATTTCAAGCCACAGAGAGCACGCCGCAACTTGCAGATTTTAGAAGGTGTAGAACATGGAGGTAATGTCATAGAGACATCTTAAGATAGATCACCATGGAGGAAGACATTTTTTACGTCCAAATGCAAAAAAGACTACTTATGAATAACCGCAATTGAAATTAAACAACAAACAGAGGTAAGACGTACCACATGAGCAAATGTCTCGTCATAATTAATGTCGCATTCTTCCAAGTAACTTTTCGTAGCTAAACAGATCTTGTAACGCTCAACTGACCATCAGACTTAGTTTTAATCTTGGAACTCCTTGCAGCCAATAGGTGTTTTATCTGAGGTAGATCAACTAAGTTTCATATATAATCTTCTCTAAAGCCTGTAATTCTTCATACATCGCTTGTTGCCACAACGGATTAGATTTTGCTTCATAAAATGACTTGGGACTCATGCAGAGAGGAGATAGTAGAAAAGTAGTGATAATTACGCAAATAACTAGGTAGATGACATACTCGATATGATCGACGAGGTAGGACATATCCAAGCATTGCATTCGGGTTAGCATCTGGAGACGAGGTCGGAGGTGGATCAAATACTTCAACTGAATCAGTGAATAAGGAAGGACATGACGATAGGAATGAAGGTGAACCAGGAAGAAATGAGACATAGAGTTTAGACATAGTAAAAAATATGACACTCTCCTAAATATAACATGACAAGAAATATGCGACCATTTAGAGATTGGATCCCAAAGCCTATAATATTTATCTTCTACCCCATAACCGAGAAGACAACATAGACGAGCACAAAGTTTTAGTTTGGAATGTTCATGCGGAGGGATAAGGACAAAACCAACACAACCGAATAGACGGAGGATGCTATAATCGAGTGGCTGATCATATAGACGTTCAAAATGGGTAACATTGTACCCATTTTGAGATAGATAGTGGAAAACAATTTATAGTATAGATGGCAGTAAGGGCAACTTTCCCCTAAAAACTATCAGGACAAGAGATAGACGAAAGAGAAGCGGGAATAGTAACTAAAATGTGACGATGTTTGAGCTCAGCACGAATATTTTGTTGAGAGTTGTATGGACAAGAATGTTGAATCATTGTACCCTCAGTAGAAAGAAAGTTTAACAAGATAAAATCTTTATACTCAAGGTCATTATCAATACGGAGGGTCTATATGGAATATGCAATGAGTCCTAATTATTTGAGCATAATAAGTGTATATTTGAGGTAATTCTAAACAATGTTTCAAAAAATATATTCATATAAAACGTGAATGATTGTCTATGAAAAATGACATAATAGGACACACTTATTGAGGGAACAGAATAAGGACCTCAAATATCATAGTGAATCATAGAAAATTGTTTATTTATGATCCAAACACTTAATGAATAAGATAAGATATATTTTTTTCAAATGACAGTATAAGCAATCAAATGACTCTAAACTAGTATAGCTCAAATGACTCTTACTAAACAAAAACTAAATTTTAGGGGAAAATGTCTGACCAAAACGAATGTGCCCACTAGGGGAAGTAAAGGTAGTAATAGAAGTACGAGCAGTAGCATTAGAAAATTTACTAGAAGGAATTTGCAAAAACTGTACCTCAAATAGTTGACGCACCTTTTGACATGTCCTAATAATTTGACCCATACGTTGATACTAAATCGGCACACCAGAAGATGAGAAAATAATAGTAAGTCTTTGGTCAACTATTTGGCCAACTGATACAAGATTTAGAGTCAACTGTGAAATACAATAAATATCAGGAAGATATGTATATGGTAGAGATAGAGATCCTGAATGAGTGATATACATGCAATTCACATTAGCAGTTTGTATAGAGGATAACGAGGACACAGGGCATGAACTAGTCAAGAGACCAAATGTAGGTGTCATATGTTGCAACAACCAGAATCAAAGTACCACCGAGGACTACTTGAATTGGCTATGTCATGAGACAATTTGGAAGCGAGAACTTGATGCGAGAGAGTCACGATATTCTGAAGTGTTGAAGATGCAAACTGTTAAGACGGCCAAATATTTCAAGCATTCCAAGGTGGTCAAGCTTGACAATTTTGAATAGCATGGCCTTGATGATGTCAGTAACGACACTCCACCGCCATAATACAGCTACGGATAGATGACATAAACAAGATAGAAAAATCCGAACAAAAAATTTCCTGTAATGACAAAATAAATTACATGATGAGATAGAGAATATATTTTTTAGACTACCACCAAGAAATTGCTGCTCAAAAATTACAACACGCCACTACGCACCAGTCAAAGTTTCGGCAATGTGAACTTAACCCCCGCATGGGACCCACATGTGCCACCATTCTCGATAGGATTTTGGTAGTTGGCCGGTTTTTGGACGGCAGTTCTACTGGTGTTGGAGGTGTCAACTGAAGATTATTGGAAGTAGAAAAAATAATGATGGCTTCAGTTGTCGATTTTTAGGACTTACACCGAAGAATTTGACTATAATACCATGTAAAATTTTCAGAGAAAAATTAATATATTATATTAATAATAGAATCAATGTGTATTTATATGTATAGTATAAAATAATAATAATAATTATAATAAAGATATAAATATGTCAGCATTAATGGTACCCCGAATTATTTTAACTTAGCTTTAATAAATAATAAATTAATATTTGTTATTATGTAAATTTTGAGTGTCTTGTTCAATATTTTAATTTGAGATATTTGTTTTTTAAGTGTGAGATATAAGAATAGTATCAATAAAATATTAAAAAATATTTTATCTTAAATATGATTTCTTTGTAAAAAATAATATAATATATTATCTATTGAGAATCCTATAAGCAAATAATTAGTTTAGCAACCTTTATTCATTGCAAAATAAAATGTTAATTATATTTTTATTAAAATATTTATTAAATTAAATTAATTTTTTTTTATCGGATCTATATCAAAATTAATATCTATTTTTACATTAATATTCAACATTAATTGTTATATAATGATTAAATTAAAAAACTAGTACAAAATATCTTATAAGCTTCTATGTAAATGTACTACAATTAAAAGTTCGAAAGTTAAAAATCTCCCACTAGAAACCGGTCTCTAAATTTTTCTTTCAATGATAATTTAAAGAATAATCTCGTGTTTAACATAGAGATTATTCTCATGTGCAGTTTTTAATTATAATTAAAACCTATACGTTCACATGCCACTATCTGTCCATTTTGAGATAATTAATGATACAGTAATAGACGCCAAACTTGACTTACAGTACATGTTTTTCAGGAGAGCCTAAAGCGACAGAATAAATAAATAAATATTCCCTTGCTCTAAGTAAAAATATCTATAAAGTTTTTATTTTGATTTTGAATAGTAAAATTTTAAATTGAAATACTTATTTGATGTGATATAAATATGTATTGATATGATATTTTGAATATAAATATAAAATAAATAAAAATTAAGTGTTTAATTTGATGTTTTTGGAGAGAAATGAATGTTGGAATAATAAAATTAGACCTAAAATTTTACATGTAAACAGACCAGTAAACGATAATTAGGAGTAATATAATTAAATTATGTTTAACTCACATAAATTATTTATAGTGTTTTAATTTCAAAATTACGGTTGTTATAGTATTTTATTCTAAAAAAATATTCTCTAAATATTTTATTTTATATAGCATTTTAAACATCTTTGTATATTTAACACACAATTTTTACTATTATTTACATAACGTATTTATAAGATAAAAAAAAAATGTACAAGTTAAATATAACAATAAACATTATATTAAATACATAAAAATACAAAATGCTAAATTAAAGAAAATATTACATTAAATATAAATATTATACAATACTAAATTAAAATAAAAATTTTAATCAATACTAAATACAAAAACTACACATATATATATATATAATTACATCAATTTGCAAATAAGTTCCTACATAACTAAAATACGATCCAAATAGAATTTAAAAAAAATAAAAATAAAAATAAAATTAGAACACAAATATAGTTTTCTTGCACTGTAGCAACAACTCTAAAACTTGGTGAAGCAAAATCTGTCCACCAAACTCCAAAATATGGTTAGTGTTGGAGTTGGTTTTAGTAAATAGATAAAATATATATATATATATATATATTAATAACAATAAATTAGTAAATAATTAAAAAGTATATTATTTTAAAAAAATTATTATATTTAATATAAATAATTATATATTAAAATTAAGATAAATAAATTATTTAATTAAAATTTTAAAAAATTTAAATTTTAAATTTTAAATTTTAATTAAAATGATTATTATTCTTTTAAAAAATAAAAAATTATGTCAAAGAAACAAAAATTTAAAATATATATATATATTTTTTATATGAAACAGATAAAGTAAACTACTCTATTAAATAAATAAATAAAATTGATTAAAAATGTACACCAATGAGCTGGTAATTAAGCAAAGGTTAAATAAAATGAAGATTACACACTAATTCAATCGCAATTGAAATCATTATTTTTACTATTTTTGTTGGTTTCACGAATTTATATTTTATGATAATAAAAGTAATCACATAGTATAATTTCGTCCAATTTTTTATTTTTATTTAGATAGGTTAGTTAGTTAATCAACTTGATTTATATTTATTAGATATATTAAAATTTTAAAAAAAATATATTTAAAATAAAAAATATCATAAAACATCAATTATTATAGGAGAGAGTATATTTTACGGCCTCCAAATAAAATACTACTAATATATTAAAACCTATAAATTTGATTTGTCCAAATAACGAAATAAAGGGTCTAGATTGTGACTTTAAAAGGTCTAATGAAATACAGTAGTACATGTACCTAGCAACAAAATGTTTATTTGTCAATTATAAGAAAGAAAGGAAGGGACATTGAGCAGAAAACAAAAGTAAAAAGAGGATAGGACAGGATAGGTAAATCAGCAAGTGCAATAGAATGCGTTTCCATCATCTTCAAGTTCAAGCAGCAGCACTGATGCAGTCTATGGCCTGTTTGCATATCCCAGTCATGGTTGCCTCAGGTCCATAAACCTACAAAAACAAACCCACAACTATAAGCCCCCTCTAATCGAAGACGACGATCGAAGAACATCGATCGAGCAATCCTTACCTCAATAGGGACACCGATTTCTTCCGCCAGAGTTCGCATTCTTGCAAGGCCCTTTTGGTAATTCGGCCCTCCTCGCCTCACGTACAGATGCATTCTTGCAGCCTTGAGCTTCGCCTCCTGTTACAAGTACGGAAGCATGCGCCAAAGTCAAGAGTCCCGAAGATTTGTTTATGATCTCAAACACAAATCTAAACTATTCAGTATACTATGGATTTTCATAAAAATAAATTATTTTCTCTCACACAAAACTATAGTATCAAATACACTGTTGGTTTGAATCAATACCTCATTTCAAATCGGAATGAATCAAACCTATGTTTTCTATTTCACACCTAAATCTACACTATTGAGTCCGCAGAGTTTTAAATATAAATACATAATTTTTTCTCACAGAACATCCCATTGCATCGCATCAGAATACTATTTAAACAAATTTCAAATCAAAATTTCAAACTCAAATAAAAACCATACACACTTTTATGTTACCTTTTCTTTTAGAGCCCGGATAATGCCGTTGAATGTGGCGGCAACATCGGTGAAGTTGGCTATTCCACCTCCAATTACGAGGGCTCTCGTCTTGCCGTCGGGATCTGCCGTCGCACACTGCAGCGTACACAGTTCGTTAACATATTCTCGATGCTGAGATTAAAAAAAAAAAACATGTTTTGATGAAAAGAAAAAAAAAAGGTGATTCTCACATCAATAACAACTCGAGCATACTGCAAGACCTCCTCTTCATTAGGGGCGCCACTGTATTCTGCATAGTTCCCGAGCTCGGACGCATACCCGAGATCTCCAACCTGTTTCCGGGAAATTCGAAAGGCACCATACATGAGATTTAAAAAACAAAACCGTGCGCCAAAAATAAACGATAAGTGATTAGTCCAAGCCACTCAAAAAAGTCGAGGAGCATTACAGTATCTGCATAGATGACACTTGCGCCTCCACCAGCAACCATTGTCCAAATTCGGCCCTTCGGGTTCAAGACAGTGAACTTCAAAGAAGCGCTCGTCTGCAAATCGTAATGAACAAACCGTATTTGTATAAATTAAACCCGGATCAAATCAGTGCCGGTAATTTGGATTGGACATTGATACAATATATACCTTCTCATCAAGACCGTGAATAAAGCTTTCTGTTGCACTCATGACTCTTCCGAATGGCAACGGGAATTCAATATTTCCCCATCTTCAAGATCAAGATCGTATAAGAAATAATAGTTTACATATATAGAGAGATTTGTGACTATATATCCACTTACTTTTTGAAGTTCTTAAAGGCAGCAGTGTCGTCAAGCTCGCCTCTCATATCCAAAGGATAAGGCTTTCCATCGACCAACGTAAAAGGATTCATCTCAAGGAAAGTGAAGTCGAGATCTAATAAAAATCAAATACGTTTAGATAATTTCAAAAACTAACTGCAGTTGAAAAACCAATGTTTTTGTCAAAATGTTTCGCCTACCAATGAACAAAGCATAGATAACTTTGATGAACTCCTCGATCACAGGTTTAACCTGCATCATGTAAAGGAAGTTCAACTAAGAAATTGTACCATATGGCCATAAAATTCAGTAAAGAAAGTTGCGAGACTGCAGCAATACTGAAGTGTAAGAACAAACATTGAACTCCATTGTTATATATAAACATACCTCCAGGGGAAGCGTTGCCACGAGCGGAGCACACACCTCAGACGTAAATGACAAACCAGTCGGCAGAAAGATAGTTTTCACCTGACAAAGTGAAAGATAAATCACGGCTTCAGCGAGATCTAGTGGGTATCTAGAGATGACGATTAAGATGCTTAGTTTACATTCAAAATGGAAGTATGAAGAAAAAAAGCATATATGTTTAAGGTACCTTGTCCCAATTCTCTTCAATCTCAATCCCTCCACATTCCGAAAAGCTAATACTAACCCCAAGCCTCTCGGAGACAATGTTTAGGTAGTATTCCTCATTATGTGGAACAAACGGTTCGACAATGAATGTAGTGATCGGTCCCTTACAACCGCCCATCTCAACCTGTTTCCACAATATCCAAATGAAATAAATTTGCGTTGTCTAGCATCCTCAGTTAAAGGTTGCATTAGAACTAATAGCTGGTTTAACACAAGATAAAACTATAGCCGATTGCAGAATCTACCTCCTTGCCGAGTCTTTCTTTAACAAAAACAGCGACTCCAGCCAAGTCAAGGTTCAGAGCAACAAGACCACTTTTTCCACGTTTTCCAAACAACATATCCGGTTTGACAACGAGTCTTGTTGATGACAGCCATGGCTCCTTATTGACTAGCTCATTGAAATCAGTCGACTCGTTGACCTGTACCATCACAAGCAATTGTTTCAATAAGATATGGCAAGTTGACAACGATAGGTTTAAAACTAAACTTCCCGAGTCCGCATCCATGTACAAGCTATCAAATCAAATACCATCGAAAGATGTGTAATATAGTCCGATACATGATTCCAAAAAATCCAACATAGCCCCAGCAATAATTGCTCCTAACTATTTCTAAAAGTTTCTCTGGTTGTTTGAGATCTGGTTCTGATTGCTAAACAACAATTAGGTAAGTCATTTACGACAAACTGCAATTTAAATGCAAATCACAAGATAAATTCACCATTAAAGATGATTCTTTCTTCGATGTATATATTATATATATAAGAATTTAAGATTGACTTGAACAGATGTGGAGATTGTTCATTAGGTTAGTTATCTTCAAGCTTCCTCAATTTGCTAGTGAGCAACATTTATCCTAAATTCCTACCTGCTCATACAGTGCTCTTATTTTGATTTGCATATGACAACATTTAAAAAAATAAGTAAAATAAAATCATCACCATTGAAGATGATTCAGATTTAATTTGGCTCCAGTGATAATATGAACAAAAAACAAGATTTAGATGAACAGCCCCAATCAATGCAAATGATCTTCCTTCGTATCAAAAACAGATTCAAGAAGGCAGCAACTCACGACGTTATAATTACAAAACCTAACCTAATCAGCGGAAAAATCTAACTAACAAAACAAGAACCACCGCTAAATTAATTACGAAGAAACAAGGACTCACTTGAGCAGATTTGATTTCCAAATCGGATCCAGAAATTCTCTTGTAATGCTCCTTCAACAATCTCTTGGAATCATACTCTCTGATCTTCTTCCTCGCCATTTCCTCTCTTTTCAACCTGAAATTTCAATTCATTCCCAAATCAGACCAGAAACCCCTCAAATTAAAACAAAAACTTACGATTCAACAAAGTGCAAATCAGAATCAAATTTCAGATTATTACCACGGCACGTAATCAAGGAAGGCGCCGGCAACAAGGACCTGGGATGGTAGTGGGCAGACCCAAAACTGAAATGTTGGAATTAATCTGGTGCCCCAATTTATAGGTGGGCAGGTCGATCTACATGTTGGGTTAAATGAATAAATAAATGCGATCGCAGGATGTCGTATAGCGGGAAATTCAGCAGTAGAGAGTCACCCACCTATGGCTATACCTACCAGTGGTAGTGGTAGTGGGCCAGCAACAGCAAAGCCATCAATCGGCTGGTAAACGATGGAATGCTGCAGCTGACCAGTTAATTAAGAGCGACAGTGGAAGGATGGTCCAAAACTGCCATTCCACACTTTGCTTATTTTAAGCGTTCTTTTATTATTATTATTATTAAATTTTGGACTATGACCAAACTTAAAAATAGTTTTGAATTCTATCTCTTAAAATATTTCAATTCAATAATGGAAGGCTTTTATTTATTATTTAGTTTAACCTTTTTTTTTTTTTTTTATATATATATATAATGCAATTCTTGTAATTCTATGTAATAGTATTCATTTGCTGTAGTAATTCTATTGTAATACTGTAGTATATTATTTGCTTTGTTTTTTCTATAATTTTTTATATTTATTTTTTAAATAAATTAATATATTATACATATTGATTATTTTTATATTCTTTACTAAATTTTATATAACAAATTTTTGTTTTCAACAACCTTACAAAAACAAATACACCCGTAGTACTATTTCCATTACACATAATTTTCATTTTAGTCTATGTTAAAACAATTGATATATTTTTACTTTTATTAAAATAGATTATATAAAATTCATTTAAAAAATATTAATAAACCTAATTGAATTCATATAATATTAGAATTAAATCCACTAAAGAATCCTTTTAGCTTTATTTATTTTTATCAATAAACAAGTATTTATATCTCTATATATATTTAGAATTCTCTATTTTTTTATAAAATTAATTTATATTAATCATAATTATATATATTTTTTTTATTTATTTGTATGGTATAGATTTTATTTTCTATAAAATATTATTTATATATACCTATTTGATTGAAATAAAATTTTAAAATCAATAAATATATTTTTAAAATTTATTTTAATTATATATTAATTTATAATATTTTAAAACTATCAACAATATCATTTATATAAAACAACAACAACAATAATAATAATAATAATAATACCATAATTTATTATCATGTATTTACTAAATTCTCCTATTTTAAATAGTGTTACAAATTAAACACATAGATTGTTCCAAAACTGAGGTAGTGTATAATGCATTCAGATGGGTATTATTACATGAAATCCATTAGAACAAATGCAACACCCACCCTTTATGATGTGGCCATGCACATCAACTCGAACGGTTGCTTTCTTTCTCTCTTCTTTCGTACGGATGAGACAATATTGTGATATATATATATATATATATATACACACACTAGTACTCGTGAAAGCGCGCTACGCCGCGTCACTCGTTTATTTGTTTTATTTTTTTATAAAGAAGAAATTGTTATGTTGTGTATTTTAATCAACACACTGAAAACAACTTTGTTCCGACATAAGGTTAATAAAATGGATTAAATTTGTTATATTATATTATAAATGTTTATAATTAAAAAAAATTAATTACGAAATAAAATATACCAAATGTACAAATTTTAATAACAATTTAAATAAAAGTTATAATAGAGCAATATCATGTTGTAATCACTCGAAATTATGATTTTATGAAATGGTTTAGTTATCTTTTATTCGTTTTATTGAATAGAGGAGAATAACTAAGTCCCTGTGCAGTGATAGAGTAACCTGACATTCTAGTTTATTATGTTTAACATATTGTTATAAGTAAGTTATAAATAAACCAAAAATATAGATATTTGTAGTGGCGGGATCCGTCGGATGAAATAGCAGCGGATCAGTTGGGAAGGGAGTGAAAGCAGGAGTCCGTTCGGCTGAAGATTGGTACGTAAAAGGTAGGTTTATGTTTCAGGAAGTGTTTTTTTGGGTCGTTAGGCCTATCGTTTTTTTTTTGTTTGGATAATTTTTTTCTATTTTATTAAAAAATGATTCTCTAGATTATGATATATATACTGAATTTGTCGGATGAGAAGGAGGAGAACGTCCAATCGATTGGGATAAAAAAATGAGAGAATTAAATATAATCAATTATATAAATATATTTTTTATTTTATATCTGAACAACCAATCAATTTAAAAAAAATATATTTCTTTTTTTAAAATATTTTTTATATTATATTTTTCATTGGATAATTTTTTTTCTATTTTATTAAAAAATTATTTTCTACAAAATGATACATAGACTGAATTGATCAGATGAGAAGGAGGAGAACCGTCCAGTAAGTAGTCGGCGGTTGGAATAGAAAGAAGAAAGAAAGAAATATAATCAATTATATAAATATATATATATATTTTATTAGAAAAAATTTCTCTACAAAATGATACATATACTGAATTGGCTAAATGAGAAAGGGAAGAACGGTCCAGTCAGTTGGGATAGAAAGATGAGAAAAAAGAAATATAATCAATATATAAATATTTTTTTTATATATGTGAAAATCAATCAATTTTAAAAAATATATATTTTTCTTTTTTCAAAATATTTTTGATATTATATTTTTCATTGGATAATTTTATTAAAATAGAAAGAAAAATATGAATATGAATATATATATTTTTTTTGTTTAGTTATTTTTTTCTGTATTATAAAAAAATTATTATGTACAAAATTATATATATTGATATATTTGAAATTTCTAAATAAATTTTAAAAATTACATTATATGAATATGAATATATAAATTTAAATAAATAAACCCTTATGAGAGAGAATGAGAGAATAGACAAAAAAATAAAATGTCTGACCGAATTCGTCGGATGAAAGGAGAGCCTTCCGGTCAGTTGAGATGGAGTTTATTTTTAAAAAATAAAAATAAACTATTATGAAAGAAAATGAGAAAAAAGAAAGGTGTCTGACAAAATTGGTCGGCTGGAAAGAGCAGAACCGTACAATCGGTTGGGATGGGAACAAAAGAGAAGGCGGCTGATTTGGTCGAATGAGAAGGAGGTGAACCATCCAGTTGGACGCAAATTAAAATTTCAATAAATAAATAATAAATATAAATATATGTATTGAACAACCGTCCAATCGGCCGCAAATATTTTTTGTTGTGTGCCCAACAAACGTTGCCGGGAGCTGCTGTTGTTGCTTCGATGCGTTGGCCACGGCTCGTTGCGTGAACTAGAATGTTGTTCTCAGATTTGTGAGGAAGCTCGACTTGCGGGAGGCGTCGGGTGCAGCTGACCATTCGGTCTTTTGAATGGTGCAGTTCCGAATGTGGGCATAGAGCAGCCGGTGGTGAAGGACTTTTCTCGTCCATTTGCCCTTCAGAATGAGCTGTGCGCCGGTCACAATGAAAATGCGGTTGAAGTTTTCTCCTTGCAGCAACCAGCTCGGGTCGTGCTTGACGAGAGATGTGCATACTTTCGCGTATCCCTTTTGTACACACCAAAATTTGACCAAAAGGCCCAATCCAAGCAAGAGCGCAGCCGGGGGAGAATCCGGCCCACAAGAAGGCCCAAGATACGTGCTCAACGGAGAAAATGAGAAAACATAATTTGAAAAAGAGAAAATTTGGGAAGGTTGGAGAAAAATAAGGGATAAGAGCCTTATCCAAACTAGGTTTAGGGAATAAAAAGGAGAATAGGGGACGGCCATTGAAGGATGGGATCATCTTTTCCTGCATTATTTTCTCTGTGATTTTAATTCCTGCATTATTTCTAGATTTTTACAGTTTTTTCCGTTAATTCCAATTTCTTTTTCCAACTTCATTCTTGTTTTTATTAGCCTTAATTTTGCCTTCCTTTTACGTTAATTATTCGGATATCGCGAGATAGCCCGGATCCTTTCTTGAGGAGGCCGGGGAATCCTTCGAACAAATTAATTCCGACAGGCTTTTCCGATTACGCCGTCGGTGGCGATTTTTTTACGAAAACAGATTGGCACGCCTTGTGGGACACCAACGTCTTGCGACCCTTGCATGCAACTTCAAAAAAGGAAACTGATGCCGCCGACAGTCATAGAGATGTCAAAAAACAAAGAAACAGTCGGCGACTCGTCGTCGCATCCCGCGCACGAAGCACCTCCACGGGACGCGACCTCCGTCACGGTCGGAGGATCTGATCCTATCGTCAGCCTCCCGGCCAGTGTGCTCCGCGAACAAATTCGGGGGAAAATTCAATCTTCCCTCTACGAATCTGCTCTGGAAATATCCAGATACATCACAGATGTACTCAAGCCTGCCATACGAACAGAGTTCGCACTACTTCGGGAAGAAGAACTTCAAAAAGGCAAGGCTCCCATGACAGGCTCTAATCTGCTCGAGTCTTGGCCAAATCTTGTCCTCTCGACTAATCCCGGGACAACATCTCAGGCGCTCAGTTATGGTCATGTTACGATTCTGGGTAAGAACGGGTCTGGAGAGCCTCAGGTGGCGGTTCGCAGGATCGGAGAGTCCAGTGCAATGACAGGGCAGACTGTGACAGGGTAGTCCCAGGCGGGAGGGTTTGGCATGACGTTTGGATCGGCACCGTCTGCCCCGAATTGGCACCCGGGTGTCTCGACAATAGGGACGTTGGCAAGCATGCCACCTCCCGCTCCGATACCTCAGGGGTATTCAACAGCCGGACAGGGAACCGGCAACCCTTGGGGGGCAGGGCCGTCCACAACCCCAGTGCCTTCATTTGCCCCAGTCTCATCAGGGACAGCCTAGGGATTAGGAGGTACCGGGGGGCAAGCCAATGCTACAGACGGATCATTTGCTGCCGGTTTCGGACCACAGCGGAATTTTGAGTTTGCTGCTCAGGCCAACCCCGGAAATTTCCTGGTACAGCAGGCACCAACAGTAAGGGAGAATACAGAAGCCCCTAGATTCCGTCCCCCAACACGGGAACCGATTCTCCAGGCCCCTCCGCAGCTGGTGATCCGGAATCCACCACCTATCCAAGCACCTCCAGAACAGGCCGGGGGGCATGCAGAGGTGATACCACCGCCCCTGAATCCTCAGGCGATCGAAGACGCTATAAGAAGGAT